GGGGCTGATCCAGCCGGGGGTTCCCAACTCAAGAGAAAAGGGGGGGGGGGGGGGGTCCAACCATTCAAATGCATTGATCTTTTAAATAAAAGTCGGGTCCAACCCGCGGAACCCCCAACCCCGGATCGGCCACTGGGTAACCGGGGGAGGGGGGTCCGGGAGTTAGAATCCCAATTTTTTTTTAAAGATCAATGCTTTAGAATACAGACATATGACTGGGATAAAAAAAAATTACCTTCAAGCAAAAAAGTAGTTAAAGGATTAGTTTTGTATTCCATATAGATGCTTAATGGAATTTCCTAAAATGTGTGTTTTTTTAATATCATGAAACAATTTGTAGTGAACACTATTAGTAATTTCTTATGTTCATAATCAATTTCTATTGTTACGAATAACAATGGACTTTGTTTGCGGGATGTAGAAGCAGGGGTTTCCAGAAACCCCGCTCGTATCACCCTGTGGTCAAAATCCATTGTTATTCGTAACAATAGATCTATTCAATTTACACTTGTTTCAGAAATAGAAACTATGAAGTATAACAATAGAACTGGGGTGTAACAACGGGTTTCCCATTAGTTGTGACTATTTTAAATAGATATGTGTATGAATTACTTGTAAACATCGCGAAACAAAGAAAAAATGTGTAACACAAACTTGCATACTATAAATAAAAGCATGGTATGTTGACTCGCGGAAACTAAATGTGACCGTTCGTTTTCTGATTTTTTTGTTGTTTAAATTCATAATGGCTGTTCATGCAATATAATATTGTATATTATTTATATTACATGAACACCCCTATCTTTACTGTGTAAGTGTGTTTTGCATTTCTGTATTTCTGTAATGAGTTGTTCTTTGTGTTTTTTAATTGTTTTATTATCAGTATTATTGTCAATATTATTTTTATTATTATTATTGATTTTGGATTTTGATTGATTAATTGTTGGTGTTCAACGCCACTTTCAGCACTATTGGATATATCGTGGCGGTCAGTTTTATAGGTGGGGGAAACCGCAGTGCCTGAGGAGAACCAACGACCTGCGGCGGGAAAACTGTCAATGCTAGTCAATTAAGATTGGAATCGAACGCACTTGCCACGTGCCGCGTTCGAACTCACAACCTCAGTTTTGACAGGCTAGTGATATAGTAGGTGAACTACTTAGACCACTCGGTCACCCTATTTATATTTAACTTTGAGTTTTTTGATCAATGTATTTAAGTACATGGATACCAGTTTATGTTGTTTATTTAGTTGTTCTTTATTTGATTAGTGATGGTATGCCTTGTCGTTCTTTTTTTTTTTATTATGGCCCCACCGACTAGCCGGCGGTACCCTATAGTAATCACTATGTTTGTCCGTCCATCAGCACTTCTATATCGTATGATAAGACAAAAATGCAACTACCAATTTACCAAAAATAATGTATGCAGTCTTAAAACCTATAAAAAGAATGTCTCTTCCATTTTTGCAAAATTTGGACCAAAAATTCAGGTAAAAAATTACGTTTTTGTAAAGAATCACAATTTATTTTTTTAGAAACGTCTTATAATACTAGAATTTCAACAAAAGATGCGATGTTAGTTATGATATGCTATTCAAAATTGATTCTCGATAATTTTGGTTGATCGAATGATAAATGTTTGCTTAACATTCAGTGGCAAATATTGCATACATGTTCAGGATGAGAACAAACACATGAATTAACAATAAATACAAAAAAAGGTAGCTCTGTAATAGAGGACGTCCTGGATGAAGTTCGGGGAAATTTGCACTGCCTCTGGAAAATGAGGATATATTTGAAAGCGACAGAAATTTTGACTTCCAACAGGCCACCTACGGACCCGTTAAAGAGTAAATTGTTACAAAGGTTCTTAACATGCAGAGAGGGTGGCACTCTCTCTACACGAAGAATCGGATTTAACGTCCACATTCTAAGTAGACATGTATTCTTATACAGACCATACAGCCAAACGTACGCCCCACTTTGGCAAGGGTTTTACTGCCCGTCGGAAGAAGGCCGATTTGAACATATTTATAAAAATGGGGGCTAGATGTGGAGATAAAAACTCAAGTTTCGATAACAGAATTTTAACAAAAATTGATAAATAGGTGTAAGAAAAAAATCAAAGGGAATGAAGGTGCCAAAAAAATTAAAAAACTGGTATCAACTTACTTTTTGTAAATCACAAATTTTAGAGACATGCATTTTTTATGGTGGGATTTCGACAAAAATTCATGTATGGGTATAACATGCATTTCAAATTTTTTTCCCTTGTGTCAAAATTGTGGTAAAAACATAGTTTTTGTGAAAAAAATGTTTTGAGAAACATCTGTTTTTGCCAGGATAACAAATAAAAATCGATGTGTAGATATAGTTTGCTATTCCAAAATGATTCTCTGTTTCAAAAATTATTAATTGCCCACCAAAATAGACTAAGTCCTTTGATTTTAACAAAACTTATATTTATCAAGAACACATACTGAATTAATTGCTGGTGTTAAATTCGTGAAAATTGACAACATATGAACATGAATTGCTTAGTGTGCATAAGTCCTCACACAAAACTGTGTAAGCGGGGCCTTGCTGACATGTCAGTTTTATAGTTATTTTTTGTATCTTATGAAGGCCCATAACACAATTCCCAGTTGTTTTTCAACATTTAAAATTCCTGGTTCCTGACATATACTTTCCTGATTGTGTTATTTTTTTTCTTACTTTTATCAAAGTGTTTGACATTTGGGATGACACATTTAAAGTCAAATAAAGTAACTAATCCAAAATGTGCATATTTACATTGAGATATTACATCCCTACCAACGTTCAGTAAAATGATCTTTGTCACAATACCACTGAATTCACAAGGATTAATGTACATTGTAATGTTTTTAGAAAATTTAATTTTTCTATGATCTTACGTATTAATAGTTTACATGTATGCCTTGACAATGTAGATGTATGATAAATATATATATATAGTACTAAGTATACCATCCATCTAAATACTTTCTTTACAATTTAATTGTGAAGTTTCGAAAAGGAATTGTTCTCTTTATATATACTGTGTAGTGTACTAACTAATCATTTGGAATATTTATACACGCACGTCTCAATAATAAGGAAGTATTGTAGGTAGAAAGTCTTCCTTTTTTTCGTTCATTAAAAGTGTAGACATTTAACTATAACAGTAAAACTCAGTTAAAAAGACGTCCGAGTCCGATGTCAGAATAGGTAACAAAAGAAACTATAAGCAAAATGACAATGATCAACATAAATTAACAAAGGACTACTAGCAGTAACTGACATGCCAGCTCCAGACCTCAATTAAACTGATTGAAAGATTATCTCTTCATCATATGAAAATCAAGCACAATCCCTCCCGTTAAGGGTTTAGTATCATACCATCATAAAATATACGAAAAAAACATAACCCGTATCATGCCAGCAATGGTTTTAGAATAGATGTGTTTATTTCCGATGCAAAGACCCTATGAGTGAATCAATATTAATTCCAAAAAAATGCCATCTTTAATGACATGACAACAGTATCGTAACTATATCCCTTCTGAATAAGTCTGTTTAAATGTTTGGTTAGCTTTTGAGGTGAATAACGACATTTTTGTGCTTTGTATTGAATATTACCATAAAAGATGGGATGTGAAATACCCGAACGTATAAGATGTCTGCACGTTGATTTATATTTACGAATGATGTCTTTGTACCGATGATAAAATTTAGTAAATGTTTTGACAAGTTTGTGATATCGAAATCCCTGGTGTAATAATTTTTCAGCAATACAGAGATTTCTTTCGTTAAAATGAAATACGTTGTTACATACACGAGCGAATCGAACTAGTTGAGATATATAAAAACCATAAGATGGTGTCAAGGGAACGTCACCATCTAAAAATGGATAATTAACAATAGGAAACGAAAAATCATCTCTTTTATCGTAAATTTTGGTATTAAGCTTCCCGTTAAAGATAAAGATATCAAGATCCAGGAAAGGGCAGTGTTAATTGTTAGTATTAGCTTTATTTAAAGTCAGTTCAGAAGGACAAATCTCTTTAGTGTACATACTGAAGTCGTTATTATTGAGAGCCACTATACCATACAAATATCTAAAAGTGTTATTAAATTTTTGTATCAGATGTTGTTTCGATTGGTCTTTGCTGATTTAAGTCATAAATTGTAATTCACAACAATACAGAAACAGGTCCGCAATAAGTAGTGCACAGTTAGTCCCCATTGGAATTCCGATAACTTGACGATATACGGTATCTCCATAGCGAACAAAAATGTTATCCATTAAAAATTCAAGTGCAGTTATCGTATCAAAGCAGGTCCAATTGACATAGTTCTTTTGTTTGTTGTTACTAAAAAATGACCTAAAAGAGTTTGAACATATATATTCGCATTCTGACTTTTAAATGCCCATTTGATTAGGTATGTGATTTTTTTCTTAATGATATTATGAGGCAAAGTGGTATATAGGGTAGAAAAATCAAAACTTTGAACAGATTCGAAATCACCAATATGAGCATGCAATTTATCAAGTACTTCCAACGAATTTTTGACACTCCAAAAGTAAATAATTCCACTATTTTCAAAGGCCTTAATTGAACAATTTATTACCAGGTTTTTGATTGTACCAAGTGTACTAGTAAGTAGAATAGACAGTTTAGTAGTGGAACAATGGCTTGAAGACGCAATAAATCTATATTTGTAAGGTGTTTTGTGCAGTTTCGGAAGCCAGTACATAGTTGGAACTTTCATGTTATTCATGTTTCCTTGTTATTCATAGTTTACATGTATGCCATGACAATGTAGATGTATGATAAAAATATATATTGTATACCATCCATCTAAATACTTTCTTTACAATTTAAATGTGAAATTTCGAAAAGGGATTGTTCTCTTTTTATATACTGTGTAGTGTACTAACTAATCATTTGGAATATTTATACACGCACGTCAAAATAATAGGGAAGTATTATAGGTATAAAGTCTTCCTTTTTCCAGTTGATGAAAAGTGTCTATAACTATAAGACGAATTATCCAAGGAAAGAACCAAAAAATGGAGAAAAAATGTCATTTCAGATTTATTTTGTTCTTTTTATTTTTGATGTGCACAATTGTGTTGATTTCAGCATGGGAGGGGTAAGCATCTAAAAACTATTTCTTTTATATTATGATATTTATGATAAAGAATTTTGCTGTTATGCGATTCATGGCGAAGTCTAATAGATGGTTTGAAGTTTTCTAGTTATTTGTTAATTTATTTGTTTAATTAATATTGATTTAACTCTCGATTAATTCCATTAAAATATAAGAGTAATTGACATATTTTTTTCAGGAACTTTCATTTTCATCGATTTTCTATCGGTTTTGTGTATTTCTTCGTACTGACAAAAACGATTGATATCAAATAATTGCAAAACCAGTTTAATCGCGAAATACCAATTGTTGTCATTCAGACCTTGTCTATTAGTAATTGAAATATAGTTATTCAGACTTTGTCTATTAGTATTTAAAAAATGTAGTCGTTCCCTCTTGTTTATTAGTATTTGGAAAATGTATATTAGTATTTAGAAATTGTAGAAGGCCCCTCTGTCTATTAGTTTTAAGAACTTAATATACATTTTGTAGTTCTCTCTTTGTCTAGTATTTAAAAAAATGAAGTCGTTCCTCCTTTGTTTATTAGTATCTAGAAATTATGGAAGGCCCCTCTTTGTCTATTAGTATTAAGAATTCAAAATAGTTCTCTCTTTGTCTAGTATTTAAAAACATGTAGTCGTTCCCCCTTTGTTTATTAGTATTTAGAAATTGTAGAAGGCCCCTCTTTGTCTGTTAGTATTAAGAAATTATAGTCGTTCCCTCTTTGTCTTAGTATTGTAGTCGTTTCCTTATTGTCTATTTATAATTAATTATAAAGTGTAGTCGTTCTCTCTTTGTCTTTTAGTATTTTTAAATTGTAGTCGTTTCTCCTTCGCCTACTACTATTTGGGAATTGAAGTTGATTTTCAGTAGTTCCTGTTGTTTTCATACACACCCTAGTTATTGATGGGTGTCGAGTTCCGGATTTTTCTTCCTGTATTTTGTGTACTCTTTTGTTACTCTTTTGTTTTCCTTTTGGTAATGGTGTTGAGTGTCAATGTCCTAAATATGATTTTAGATTGCCCTTTTCGTAACGCTCATATATTTCTTCTATTATAGGTAAGATTTAGAGCTAGAAAGTCATATTTTGAACTATAGATTTCATTTTTGTTGAAGACGTGAAAAAAAAAATAAAACCGAATAGTTCACAAAATTACATTAGATAATATGCCTTTTTGATAATACCTGAAATCAAAATAAACTATAATTAACATTTAGATTGATATGTATTACTCTTTCCGGGGCACCTGAGTTCGATTCCAGGTTTTGGTGCAGTTAGTGTTGCTCAATCTTTAGTTTTTCTTTGTAATCTCTCTCTCTCTCTCTCTCTCTCTCTCTCTCTCTCTCTCTCTTGCTTGTGAAATAGTTGATATTTTTGCTTTTGAGAAGCAGTTCCTCTTTACAAGCAAGCTAAATATAATACATATCTATAGAGAATTCGATTTTTCTACATGAAACCTTAACAACCAACAAAAGGACGGGTAAGCTAAGAGCCATTATTTGGAGAAAGAGTTCAAGTCCTATTTAAACGTTATTTAATTTTGATGAAAGTGATACTGATAATATAGTGCAGAGATGACTTCTGAGATAAGTTTGTTGTCACATATATCATTTATGACAAATTGGACTAAATTCGCTATTATTTTTTTTTATAGTTTATAGTTAGAGTAAACATGAACATCAGCCTAACTTAAAGGATAATCTATTTAGAGCAACATCTTTCCATGATACGATTAGTGGCAAATCATATTTTTGAGCAAGGTTGTAACAGTTGCTCATATTTAAAATGAATGTATCGGAGTAAGGATATTAAGGCTCTTATTTGGCCCAAATATTAGTCCAAATTAAAACGTTGTCATACATGTTCCTAAATTTGAACTTCACATTTAGCGAGTTATCATGGCAACAAATCATGATGAAATTTGTATATTTTTAAAAGTTCGTGATTTTCCGTATGTCATAATTATTTTTTTTTGTGAAGTTTTTGAAATTATGTTTATTTCAGTTTTCTGTTGACATCCCCCCCCCCCTTACACACACACACACACACACACACACACACAAACACACCCGTAATATTTCGTCCTTGGTATCTGTATGTGTGGAACGCATATATATTTTACAATAACGTGCCTTTCCATAGTCACAATAAATATAACATCATGATACTATATAGTATGTTTAGTTTTTTTTAAATCTTTATATTATATACGTATATAGGTTACCATTTGAAAGGTCAAAAACATTTCAATACAAACAGGTTTTCTTTTATTTTGCAAAGATTCTTTACAAAAATAAATTTTATTTTTGTGTAATTGTCATATAATATTTCATTACTTACAATTACAGTGGCGTAGCTAGGCCATTTGTAAGTGTACGCCCGATACTCGGCGAGGCGTCTGAGGGACCAAAGCGGGTCCAGGGCAGAGGACCTCCTGGTAGGGGGTTGATGTGGCGAAGCCCCAGATACTTGCGTTATCGAGAAAGAGATACCATTTCTGTCATTAAAAACTCATCAATAGCTACATATTTAGAGTCTAGTTTATTTATTTTTTTTAAGTTTAATTTATTCATTGTGTTGATTTTGAATCCAATGATCATTTTTGTCTTAGAGAAAAATGTCCAAACCAGTTACTGTAAAATATGTTTATGATACTAAACCCCTAACGGGAGGGATTGTGCTTGATTTTCATATGATGAAGACATAATCTTTCAATCAGTTTAATTGAGGTCTGGAGCTGGCATGTCAGTAACTGCTAGTAGTCCTTTGTTAATTTATATATCATTGTCATTTTGCTTAGTTTCTTTTGTTACCTATTCTGACATCGGACTCGGACTTCTTTTTAACTGAGTTTTACTGTGCGTATTGCTGTGTGTTTGTTTATTCTACATTGGCTAGAGGTATAGGGGGAGGGTTGAGATCTCACAAAACATGTTTGACCCCGCCGCATTTTTGCGCCTGTCCCAAGTCAGGAGCCTCTGGCCTTTGTTGGTCTTGTATGTTTTTTTAATGTTAGTTCATTTATATGTTTTGGAGTTTAGTGTGACGTCCATTTTCATTGAACTAGTACACATTTTTGTTTAGGGGCCAGCTGAAGCCCGCCTCCGGGTGCGTGATTTTCTCGCTGTGTTGAAGATCCATTGGTGGCCTTTGGCTGTTTTCTGCTCTTTGGTCAGGTTGTTGTCTCATTGACACATTCCCCGTTTCCATTTTCAATTTTATTAAAAGGAGATGTGGGGTATAACAATCAATCTACAAAAATCCAAAAGTTTAGAGAAAATAAAAAAGCAATTCTCTATTTCAATGTTGTCGTTCTATTAATTATTTTGACTTTATCTAAATTTTCACCCATTTTTATGCGCAAATTCCGTTAATAGACACATGAAATAAATAATTTTCATAGATTTTCAGGTGAAATATAAAATTCTTAAAGAGTTCCGTGGAACCCTGGGTCTCGCCTGGGATTGCTTCTGTCTGTGTAAAAGTGTAATGTTGACTATAAAAAGTTATTCAAAATTATTTATTTTGTAAAAATATTTCCTTTCTCTATTGGTACTGTATACGTATACCTAACAACAAAATTATTTTCATTTACCTGTGTTTAAAGTTATTGCAAATGGATGGTATTTTTGTTCGAGCATATTGTTTTTCTTTAATTGTCTAACTTTTCTTACCGATATCACATGTTACTTTTATTATTCTTCCCTTAGTTTATTTATTTTGTATTTACATTGTGTCATAGGTCAAATTTATTTGTTCAGTGTATGTTCAATGGTGTTAATATGTCCTTTGATTGAGTTAAGCTATTTCAGTTGATATTTTATAGTGTGTCTTTCTATGTTGTGATGTTACACTTTTGTTTCAGAAAAAGGGTGAAGGTTTGGTACCATTAAAACGTTTAAACCCGCTGCATTTGTTTGCACCTGTCCTAAGTCAGGAATCTGATATTCAGTAGTTGTCGTTTGTTGATGTGGTTCATAAGTGTTTCTCGTTTCTCGTTTTTTATATAGATTAGACCGTTGGTTTTCCCGTTTGAATGGTTTTACACTAGTAATTTTTTGGGGCCCTTTATAGCTTACTGTTCGATGTGAGCCAAGGCTCCGTGTTGAAGACCGTACTGTGACCTATAATGGTTTACTTTTATAAATTTTGACTTGGATGGAGAGTTGTCTCATTGGCACTCATACCACATCTTCTTATATCTATCTATTCATCAGACAAATACAGGATTTAAGAAAAAAAACTTTTCTTTAGATGATTTTTCTTAATCTTGAAGATAAGCTTATTCCCAAGGTTCATAACAATCTAAGAAGGTTATCAAATTTATCATGTAAAAAAATAAATAAATAATCCCAGACCGTCTGTTAATTGTAAAAAAAATAAGTCAGTAAAATACTGAAAAATAAAAAAAAATAATTTCAAAATTATCTCTTTTAAAATCATTAAAAAGCTTCTGCCAAATGTTCATATAATTCCATGAAGGTTTGACAAAGTAATTGATGTGTAACAAACTTTGACCTCAAAATGCATCTACTTATTAATTACAAAACAACAAAGTGCTTTTATCAGTAAAATACGGAAAATAATAAAAAAAAATATTTTCATTATGCTTTGGATACCGACTTTTGATCATAAAAAGTTTGTGTCCAACTTAGGTAAAATTTCATGAAGGTTCGACAAAGTTATTGATGTCTGAAAAAAAAAACTTTAACCTTGTACTGCATCTAAATATTAACTGTAAACAAAAACGAAGTCCATTTAGCTGACCGAGCGAGACCCTCATTGGTAGTCAAGGTCGTTAAACACCCCCTAGTAGTAAGTCCATTTTTCACTATAAACTATAAACACAGAGATATGTCTCGCCTTAATGCTATTTTGATATGTAAGTTATGCAAAATATTTAAAGTCAATGAACCATGACTGAAAATACAGGGCAAAACAATATCCATGGAAATGAAGTGCCACTGTTTATACAACTGCATACCAAATATATTTAACCTAC